CCCCAAAACCCCAAAACCCCAAAACCCCAAAACCCCACTAAAGAAAGCCAGATTGAAATATTAATAAGACAACTATCGATTTGTGGTAGATAGCTTTGCCAGATTATCTTGAAGAGTTTTCTTCTTTTCCTCTTGTGCCTTCTTCATAAGTGTGCCGAAGATACCTCTCTCTGATATGCTCAAGAGTCCATCTGAGCTTTTCTTCGAAGAGTTAAGCATCCTTAAGTATTCTAAAACTAGATTATTGAGGGTAAATACCTTTAGGGCTTATGATCGGAGTGGTGTTGGTCTTCTGTATCATTGCTAATTTAGATAGATCTAAACATTTTAGAGAGCTCTAAGGCGTAAATTACCATAACTTTGCTTCTTATGAGGAGGCTTGATCATTCCTTGACTACCTGTTTTCATAAATGCATGATTGGACTTTCCCATTTTCTTCTCTAATTTCGATCCCAGTTGTTTATTAACAAGCGTGTTCAAGTTTAGATCTGGGAGGATTCTACTATCATTGCTACTCCTATATAAACGTGAGAAATTATTGTTCAAAACATGACTAAGCTGTCATAAGTTGTAATAAAATCTCACCTTCTTTCAGGGATTCTTTTGTACTTAGACTCTCTGGAGTAATCCTTGCTATACAGTAGTTGGAATATTTCTTCTTTGCCCATTTTAGGTTTGAAATTCTGCTGAGTTGAGCTTCTAAATAGTCCCAAAGCTATGAATTACTGCATTTTGTGTGAATTTCTGCCAGCTGGAATATTATCTGACTTCCCCACAGTAAAATCAATATCTTGCTGATTCTGATCCATATTTGCATAAATTTTATGGCTGATAGCTTTAGAGAGAGGAGCTTTCTGCCTGCTTTTGATATTCATATTTTTAAACATGTTCTTCTCAGGATGCTTAAAAATCATCTTAATATTCTTCTTGAGATGACCTAAAGGTTATTAAAGTAATTACCCTCATTTTGATCTTGAGAGCTATCCCTTGAATTAGAGTTCCCAACCTTATTTCGTGGCTTCAATGCCACAGTTGAAGTCTTAGATTTGACATCTTTGGAGATTCTCAAATCTCTTTTATTGTTAACTCTAAAATTAGCTAACTTGGCTGATTTTTGAGGTTTATGAACATCTCTATTAACTGTAAGCTAGTCCCTAAAATCTTGACTTACTCTTTGACAATTTCTAACTCCTTTTTAGATTTTCTCACATCAGGAGTCTTTTCTTTCTTTTTACGAACATCTGAACGCTTTTTCCTCACATTCGAAGGCAAATTGAATATCCAATTTGTGTTTTTGCTAAGCCTTGAAGGAGAGAATGTCTAAAGATTACGAAAAATCCTTACCATTTTATCATGCTTCTTAATGTCATCACTGTACTTATTCCTTTCAGATTCAGTATCAATTTTATCATCAGAGGTACTTGACTTATCCTCAGCATTTTCAGAGGAGGAATAGCTAGTATCTTTGGGTTTACTTTACTATAAGTACGAAGCTTACTTATTATCATCTTCAAAAGACCTAAAGTTGGTAACCTTAGAGAGGCTCGGGAAAAAGGCTTCCTCTGATTGCCTGAGTTCTTCCTCATCTTCAGTGATGATATCTAAGTTGTCATACCCCAATATACTCACTAAGCAACTCCTCTTTCTGGCTCTTCTTTGAATTAGGCTCGACAGAGCTATCTAAATCACCTTTTCGTCTTTTCTCTAAATCAGAGTTGGAAATCCAGTCAAAGAAATAAATTACCAGAGTTTTGGAGAGCCATTTCAACAGTCCTGAACTGACCATAACTCCTTTTGTTTTTGCTCTTTCTGTGGAGCTTGAGGGGCTTCATTTTCTCAGTTGTATAACGAGCTGTCCTCCTCATTGTAGGATATAGCTTTACATTCTTAGATGATCCCTTTTGAATCCTTCTTGAGTTCCCAGTTTTGGTTGTCATTTCAGATCTATGAACAATTTTAACTAAGTAGAAGAAGATTTAGGAGTCAAGAAAGGATCAAGGATATGAATAAGTCAGGATTATTTTCAAAGTTTACTACATAAGCTTCTAAGACTTTAACTGTACTTACTTTGAACGAGTTTGAGAGGTATCCAAACAGTCATCATGCTCAAAATTGCTATTTTTCCTTGCATGAATGGCATTTATCATCTTTTTCTTAACCTTTTTATCTCCGACCACGCATCTACTTCCTCTTATTTCATCCCTAAGGAACATTTGAATGGCTCAAATATCAAGTGTTAACAATGAACTAATTTCTCTTCAAAGAAATTAGTGAAATTCAGAAAAATTTAAACGATACCCGCTGAGATTGCTGGTAATACTTACTCACTGATTCCTTTTAAATATGACATTCTTAACATTTCAAGCCTAAACCAGGTAATGTCATAAAATCCAAGACCAAAATTGAGCTATTTCAGCATAGAATTTAGCTTTCAAGACAAATTCAGAAGGGGAATTAAGAAGTTTACTTCTTATAGTTAAAAATAACAAGCTGGCAGCATGAAAACAAGCTGTTTTAGCCAAACAAGGTGAACTTTAGCCACGCAGGCTTTAAAATGCAAGTGGCATAGACTAGAAATATTAAAGATTTACCCTGAGCAAGTCCCCTTTTTGCCATGATCTCGTGAGTTAAGCTTATGAGGATAATTCCCCCTCTTCTCATGCTCATATTTTGAATCAAGAAGAAGTCAATTCTTGCCACTGGTCTCAAAAACCTGTGACTTAGAGTTCCTCTTCCTATTAAACTGGCCTTCAGAAAGCGACAGAGCTCCTTGAGAGCCTGTCTTCTTTGGGTTATTTAGCATGTGGTGGTTTGATTCCATTTTATGAATATTTCTTATAAATTATATTAAAAACAAACAGAATTTATAAAACAATTAACTTCTGTTCTCTTTCAATACATATTCTGGAAAAAGGGGTTTTGGGGTTTTGGGGTTTTGGGGTTTTGGGGTTTTGGGGTTTTGGGGTTTTGGGG